AAAAAAAAAAAAAAAAAATCTCTCGGAGAACTTACAATATGGGGGAGGGGAGATCATGGATAACACAAGTAAATTAAATACTACACCAGAAAGTGAGAAATGCTCTGGAGAAATGTTAAGGCAGAAAGCGGGTAGGGGAGTTGGTGAGAGGGATTAGGGAGGGCTCCCGGCAGGTGATATCTGAGCAGGGATCAAAGGAGGGGAGACATGTGAATACCTAGAGACGGAATATTTGGGAAAGAGAAAAGGCCTCCAGTGGGAGTCATCCTGCCTGGTGGGGTAGTGGCAGGATGGTGGGGGTGGGGTGGGGAGCGAACCAGAGGGGTGGCTGGGCCATAGAAGCGAGCCTCCTGCTTTTACTCGGAGGGCGGGAGGGAGGTGGAAAGTCCCTGGAGAGTTTTGAGCAGAGGAGAAGGTGATGCTCTGATTAAATCTGAATTGCGTACACACTCACACATCGACGTCAACCCAGGTCTCAGTACGGTTTGGTCCAATATTCACAGGATTGTCATCCAGCAGCAGTGGCAGCTATGCTTAGCTGCCAGGGCACGCAATACTGAAGTCGCTATCCAAGCCCTTAGACAATGACGGGACTTTGGTCATAGATATGACAAGGCTGATGGTGGAGAATTCAAGGCACAGATAAACTTTCAAACTGCAGAAATGGTCCACGCCGAGGAACCCAGGCTCCCAAAGGTCCGCCCACGGGAGGGCCCGGCCACGCTCAGCGCTGGACTCACTCATGGGGGGACGCCTGCCCTCTCTGTGGCTGTCCAGCCCCAGGCAGGAGGCACCTCTGCTCGCCCTTGTCCTGTACAGTGTGTCTAGCACTGAGTTTTCACTTGTAAACCATGCCATTGACAAGCATGGCAATAAAATTTCATTGTTTCTGATGGCAGTAGTCTGTTTTTTTAACCTTTGGCTTCTTTTTTTTCCTGGCATTTTTATACATCTGGTTCTGGTAAAATAAAAAAGATTCACTCCGTTTACAGCTGTCCTTCCTGCTCAGGCCTGGGCTTCCCTCCCCAGCCCTCCAGCTGATGGGGAAGTGACAGCACCCCTGCTGGAGAGAGCCTGCTCCAGCAGGACAGTGCCCCCAGGGTCAGAGGGCCCCCCCTGGGTCTGGCTGGAGCACCCTCTGGAGGTACTGCTTAGGAAGGAGCGATTCCATAGGCCACACGGGTGCCCAGGGTCCCCTTGCCGACGCCACCAGAACAGCAGTGAGACTGGGTGCTGAGAGGGATTCTGTGGATTACTGTGCCTCCTGAGATGCGGGTTCTTGTCTCGTGTGGGCTTTACTTACTATTTTTTATCTTCTACTGCTTGTGCTCACGCAAGATGCAAAGTCTTCAATATGTGGGAAGCATCTTACCTGCAAGTGCTTCCCAGTGTCCGTATGTGAAAAAGGAGGAAGGAAGATGCTAGAAAAATGAGAGACTCCTTCAAAGCCTGCAGCGAAAGCAGCTCAGTGGGGCAAAGAAAGGGAGAGAGAATTGGAATGAAGGCTCCTGTCGCTTGGTGAGGGGCTTCATGTCAGGCCCCTTAACTGTGAGTGAGCACTCTTTTCCCTCTTGACCCCATAAAGAAGGCCGGGTAAGGCTAAATGATCCCCCGGCCAGGCCTCAGGCTGGCCTTCAAGTCTCATTGTGCGACAGGAAACCTCCAGTCAGCCGGGCACCAGGCATGGCCCAAGCAGATTCTTGGAGATGCAACCATGGGTCATGACCCCACCCTGATCACGGCCAGCTCCTGCAAGCAGTGCTCCAGGCATGTCTTCTGTCATCTGCCCTCCTACGCTTCCAAAAAAAAAAAGATTCATCCTACGATCCCCACTTTACAGAGGAAGAAACCATGTCAGAAACATAATTTGCTCGTTTCAACTGCTTCACATGACTTCATGAATATAAATAGGCAGTGCACACAGATACACAAACACCCCCTAACATACACATACACCCGACACTGTACACACTTCACTCCACACATGCGAACCTATATACTCCCCACAGGCACACACACTTCTCTCTCACACACACATACACACATACACACCACACACCCACATACACACTCATACATACATGTACATGCACCACTCTCACACATTCCACAGATACAGACACATGTGTATGTGCCTACAGGCATATGCACACACACACACATACACACACACTCACACATATTACATATTTAAACATGCACTGCACATGACACACACCAAGCACCTCACACACACGAATATACACGTCCAAAAACATGATAGAAAAGAAAAAAGATTAAAATAACCAGATTTACTAGTGTTCAAAGAAATACAAATTTCAAAAATATAAATTGGCCACTTAAGCAAAATACTACTCTGGGTACGGACTCTGGAGTCAGGCTGCCTGGGTTAAGTGTCAGCTCTTCCGCTTACCTGTAAGGTGGCAGCGGGCGAGTCAACCTCTGTGTCTCCTTCGGCTCTTTCGTGATGTGGGGACAAGAGCACCTGCTTCACAGTGGCGACTCTGAGAACTGAATAAGCAAAAGTTTGCGACGTGCTCAGAATGGTGCCTCCTGCATCAGGCAGACGAACACACATTCCGCTGTAACTGTCGTCACCTTTGCCGCCACCATCGTTGAGGGAGCCACGGAATGAGCCCTGTCATCGTTATTGGTGGAAAGACCCCTCTGGAAGGCGATTATCAAAATCCTTAAAAACTGTCATTGCATATGACCCTATAATTCCTTTATCCTCAGGGCGTAAACAGAGAGGCATTCGGACTGATGCTTAAGGATGTTCATCACAGTATTATTAATAGCAAAAAAAAAAAAAAGAAAGGAAAACCGGAAACAACCTGAAGTCCCGAGACCAGGACGTTGGTCGTGGGCACCCGCCCGGCAGCTCAAGCAGGACGCCCTGAAGACATCCTTCCTCCTCCCTTGCATCCAGTCGAGGCCAGAGTTCCATCCTTTCCACCTCCCCGCTTAGGAATCTGACCGCTTCCTGTAACATTCGCCCACTGGGGCCTGCTGGAGCATGACTTCCTCAGGGGAGCCTCCTAAACTGCCTGCCCACCACTGACTGACCCGTGTCGGCTGCCTCTCTTCCACGCCGGCGTGATGCCTGGTCTTTTTCCATCACACTCGCCACTTTTGTAACTGCTGGTTCCCCATTTCTGCCTCTTCTACCAAATGATGAACCCCATGCGGGCCGGATGCTGGCTGTCTTATCTACTTTTGTACCCTCAAAGCCTGCAACGCACAAACACACACAAACACACACACACACACACACACAAGCATGCACACACGCACACACATACATTGTTTCCTGGCATACGCAATGTTTCCTGACTTTGGAACAGCAAGTGAAGAAGGAATGTGATTCAGCCTTAAAGCCATATTCTTAACAAATGCTCATGAATGGCAAAATGCTCATAAATGCAATGTTAAATGAGAAAAATATGTACAATACCATCTGTCTATACAGATTGACATTAACATTACTATACATAAATGTATGTGTAAAAACCCAGATGAGAGGCACTAAACTGTTAGCAGTGGTTATTCCTGGCCATTTTTATTATTTCTTTATATATGCATGTATTTCCCAGATATTTTACGATAAGCATCCATTTCCATTATAATAGTGAGAACAGTGGGTAAGATAGGCAGATATAGCCAAGGATCTAGGACTTTTGGAATGAACCGTGATTTGAGTCCAGGATCTGGATGGCTGAGGCTTCCTGTGAAATACCCACATTTGAACTTGCCCGTGACGTAAGTCTATTACGGCAGTCAAGTCCAGAGCGGCTCTGCATAGTCGCAGGTGAGTCTTTTAATAGGGTGAATCCCTCTCGTGAGACCCAGTAGGCCGAGTGCAGTGGAGACAACAGGTAGTGGTTTCAGAAAGATAACATTATCTATATATTTTCCTTTTCCTAAAAAAATAAAATACAGGGTAAAGGAGTCTTTTTCATTTTTGTTTTTTTTCTAAGTCACCATACTCACACATTCAGGGGATTGTCATGGAGGCTTTTACAGGAGGACTTGTTCCTATGTCCCCACTAACCGTTGAAAGGTGTCAACGTGACAGCCCCCACAGTGGGGCCACAGAACGCCTCACAGCCAGACCTCCCCAGGCTTGAAAACCCGTGCAGGCCCCGGGACCCAGCACACAGATGGGGGCCCACAGGTGGGTCCAGGCAGGATGGGACCTAGTGCAGAATTCTTACAGTGGTTCCGAGTCGTGATCTGGACCCTGGATTTCTGGATTTCTTCTGTTGCCTGATTTCTCAGCACCCCAGTTTCTTCATCAGTCAAATTGGAGTGTGTATGCATCTCTCTGAGACAGTTTTAAGAAGTAGTGAAATTTATATCACTACCATTAGGATATGGTCTTCTGCCCTTCGGCCCACAGGCCCCTCTTAAGCAGATCACCAAATGAGGAACGGAGTAGAAAGAAGTAGGGCTGTTTGGCCCAGAGAAGGGTAGGAAAAGGACAGGACGGGAAACATAAAAACTGTCATATGCACGAAGGACAGACTTGTTCCGTGTGGTTTCCCAGGGCAGAACTGGAGCCAGTGGTGGAAGTTCTAGAAAGTCAGATTTCTGTTTCACTGAAAGAAGAACCTTCTAAGAACAAAAGTGACCCAAAAGGCTGCCTTGTAAGGCATTACTGAGTCATCCATCACTGCTAATATTTCAGTGGGACTGAATACACAGGGCAGTTTTGGTAGAGGGATTCCTGCGTTAAGCTGAAGACCAGACAGATAAGCTTTAACATTCCTCCTAACTCTGAGAATCTATATTTCTGCCACTTGGCCTTTTTGCTTTTGGAACTGTTTGCAAATAATTTATAATTCCTCCTCAACACCATTTACCCAGGCCCAGCCAGAGCTGCATTTGCCAGGAGGCCTCCCGCCCTTCTCACCCCCACCTCCCCTTCCCGGTGGAAATACGTCTCACTTAGGCCATCTCCTTATTGAAGGAAAAGTTGACAATATGGGTCCTGCCTTCCCAGAATGAAAGTCAGAACTCAAATTCCCAGCCTCCCTTGCAGGAAGGATGAAGTCTTGACCCTTCGAAGACTCCTTATTCAAGACCTGAATTTGGAAGTGAATAACTTAAAGGTAAAAAGAAAAAAAAAAAAAAAAGTGCGTGCGTGGGGGCGAGTTCCTCCCGATGCCTCCAAATTTTCTCAAAAGTGTTTTGGGTGATGGCAGAGACACCCAGCCTTCGGGATGGTAGCTGTTTCCCAGACATTGCGAGGTCGAGCAGCCCAGGGACTGGAAGTTTCATCAGTTCTAGCCGAGGTAGCATGTGCAATCAAGTAGGTTTCTGGCATTTAGTGCTTCTGAGTGCAGAGGCCATGGAGTCTGCAGCTGGGTTTTAGGAGCACTCCTGGGAGTTCAGCCTCAGCTCTCACTTCCACCTGCCTGTGACTCTAATCTAACATCATCTAACAGCATCTAAGAGAGCGGCTAGATGCTCACTCAACCCATTTTCTCTTCATCCTTGGGCAGACACAGAGTGAGACTGGCTTACTCAGCTTTCCTTGCACTTGGGTGTGGTCCCACGACTGAATTCTGTGTAATGGTGTGTGATCAGAAGTGATAGACCTCTGTGCCTGGTTCCTAAAACCTCTGGGGCAATCCTCTATGTCTTTATCCCCTAGCAGGGTATAGAGGAGTCAGTGGAAAACAACAAGAACCCTAGAAGATGGTGAAGCTTCTGGTAGAAAGGAGTCTGGGTCCTTGAATCCCTGACTGGACTATGACGTGAATGGGAAATCAACCTCTTATTGTTTTAAGCCACTTTGATTTGGAGGTTGTGATAGGGTTATCTCATCTTGACTAATATACTTAATAAATCCATTTTCTGCTGAACGAGCCAAAGATTTTATTTTTCACAGGAGCTCTCAATATTTTACTTCCCTACTTGATAGGCTGACAGGAGGTTTGATTTGTCGATTAGGTAGTCACATCTGCAAGTAGGCTCTGGTTTCCTCAGAATAGGAGGCACTGGGCTTGACTTGGTGTGTTACCGCCCAGTTGCATCAGCTCCAATTCCCAGCGACCCTATGAATGAGTGATGCCCACAGTGTCTTGTCCTAAACATTCCTACTCAGCTCCTGTAGACTCCTGCTTGTGGCTTCTTCTGTGGAGTCAATCCACCTCTTATTTGGTCTTCCTCTTTTCCTACTGCCTCGACTTAGACCTTGCCACTAATGCAGGATGGAGGGGAGCCGGCCAGTGCCCCACCCATGCAATCACCATCCTTCCTCAAGACCAGACCACAGAAGTCTCTCCAAGGGAGAGTCAGCTTCTCTCCAGTCAAGGCAGAGCCTGTGGCTTCACTCCTGACTCCCTGCTAGAAGCTGAGGACAGTCGGGCACGTTCTTCCTGGTGCTCTTGAACTCCATCTACAGGGAATCCTGCCCCTCCTCTTTATTGTAAGGTGAAGCCAGGCTGAGTCAGGAGCCCAGAGAGCTATCTCTGAGAAAATTGCCTTGTACCTAGATGAAATCAGGCTTTGAGTTAGCGCTGTAGATACCCTTTGGCATGTCTGGCTTGGTCACCCCTTAAGAGCCCCCTACCCACAGGGGTAAGTAAGCCCATGGCAGTTTATATCATGTGACTGACTCTTCCCTCACAGTTGGTTGGATAGGGACTGGACTCGTGATCCAAGCTGTGCCAGCCCGATATTTTGTGCCAGAAATTGGGGCAGTTTCAAGCCGGGCCCTTATGAGCCCATCTATTGAACAGAGCAGCTGTAAACTGATAAACGGCGGCTGGGCTCGTCTTCTATGCCATGTGGACTAAGAAACAAGACTAGAGGAAGCCTGTTGGCTAACAAATATAAAGCAGCAGAAATAAAGAAGGAAAGACGAGTGAAAGAGAAAGTAGGAACTTTCTGAGCCTGCTGCATCCCAGCCTCAGAAATTGCTGTGGGTCCCCAAGCAATAAATTTTCTCTAGTTTGCTGAAGCTTCAAGTGAGTTTGTAAAATATAAAATGAAAGCGTCTTAACTGATACAGGAGGAAGTAGAAAATGTCACCCCACAGATTGCCGCCTCCGGGAAACTAGGCACCTCCTGGCTTGTCGTGAACTGGAAAACCTAAAAATACTCAGAACTAGGAAAACTACGGTGGCTGGAAAGAGACTTATCTGTAAGTGGAAAGGACGTGACCTTTTCTCCAGTCCAACATGTCCCAGCAGAGCAAACGCAGAGAGCCGGAGAGGAGGTGGGCCGACGTGCCCCCGCTCCCACAGACAGCAGGACTGGAGCTCCAGCTCTGGTTCCAGCCTCCCGGCCTCAAGGCCAAGTGCAACCTCTAACCTTAAATCCCCTCTAGAATGAACGTCCCCCTCTCACACGCGGCCCCAGGACTCAGAGGCCAGGCGTGAGCTACCGGGATAAGCACGCACGTGTTGCTAGGCTGGCGACAAATGACGCGGCTAATTCCCCTCGCCCGGCGGGTCCCCGCCGCTGAGACGCCGCGCACATGTGAGCACTCCGGCGGGCGCGGG